AAAAAGTAAAACTCTATCTATAGTTATGTGAAGTTTATTTGGCAATCTCATGCCTCGCATCTTCTGAATACACCATTGATTTGTTATTCTCAACATTGATGGATAGCAGTACTTAAAGATGAAAATATGGTGAAAGTTCTTACCGTTATTAAAACACTCAAGAATTGAAGGGTATGAGAGTACACACCTGGAAACGTGGGAGATTTGGGGTGGGTGTGAGGAGCATAGATACGTGGGGGATTTGGGGCGAGGGGAGGAGCATGGAAACTATGTTCCTAAAACTATTTTCCACCCATTAACCAAACACTAGATTTTTTTTTACTTTCTAACCAAACATGAGAAACTAAGTAAGAAAATCACTTATTTTCTCATAAAATATTTTATAGGAAAATATTTTCAATGGAGATCATTTTCCATCAATACCACTTAGTGAAAGAAGACCTACTGAAGTAGAAATAAAATACATAGATGTAATGTTCAAAATAATTATTTTTTCTTAACCAAGAAATCTGCTATTCCTAACTTTGAAATCGATGAATAATGTAGTATTATCAAAGACTCACTTCACTTGAGCCTTGAAGCTAGGTACAAAAATCGGAGTGCTTCACAACGCTTAGACGTAGACATGTAGTTCCCATTTAGGCACCAAGGCAAAAAAGTATGTGTGTCATCACCTATTGGCCTACTCTAGAAGAGGGCAACACTAAAAAATTAACTACTTCCTCCATCCCAATTCATGTGATACCATTTCCTTTTTAGTCTCCCCAAAAAGAATGTTACCTTTCTATACTCAGAAATATTTTAATGATATATATATATATATATATATATGAAAATATAATTAATGATACCTATTTGTGAGGGATAAATAGGTGGGTAAATAAATTTATAATGTAGGATAGACGGTTAAAAGTAACTTTTTTTTTCATTCTTTCTTCTCACTGATTCGGAATAGGTTTTCTTTTTCCTAACTAAGTTCTGAATAACTTAAATTATTGACAGTTTGCCGCCCTCTGTCGGCTGCCGGCTGTCGCTACGGTCCTGTCCATCAATTTCTGCAGCGATAGCTTCTACACAGGTCCAGAATGTCTAAGCCTGAAAATAATGTTCGCCAGGATATTTGTGGTAGCACTAGTCGCCAAAATACCGAAGCCTATGTTCACGTTATTATTTTGTGCACTGTTTTTATTATCTCTTCAGCTTGCATACTCCCACAAACTTGTTTGCTGGGACTTCGGGGGGGATGTGGACAGTAAACTAAAAGTTTCAGTTTTTACGTAGAACTTGTCAGTCATAATCTCCAGCAACCTTTTTCCCCTTTCAAGTTTTAACCTTTTGTCATCCTAGTAAGAAATGTTGATGCATAGGACCCATAACCAAGAGCTGATAAACTTGAATTGTACTTTCACTTTGGATTGCTCACTAGGATGTTATCTTTGGAAGAAATCTCAAAACATAAAATCCCAAATTTCACTAACCTGTATATCTTTAATTAAAAAAAATATTGACCTGAATATCCTAACATGTGGTCCTCATTTAATAGGTATAGGACTCTTTTTGTGTNATGAATTGCACTTTCACTTTGGATTGCTCATCTGGATGTTATCTTTGGAAGAAATCTCAAAACATAAAATCCCAAATTTCACTAACCTGTATATCTTTAATTAAAAAAAATATTGACCGAAATATCCTAACATGTGGTTCTCGTTTAATAGGTATAAGACTCTTTTTGTGTATCAAGCCTGGGGCTAAATGCCCTCAAATGGATTTTGTATAGTTTCTATTGGTCATTCATTATTATGCTACTCATGAAATTTCTAACTTTTTCTCCGCCATTTAGTCTCGTCTGATTAAATTCAAACTGCAGCCTAAGTTTCATCTATATGCTTTCCTGATTTTAGTTATTTGAGGGGTCGGAACCTAGAGTTTACATGTCCTCTATTTTAGTGTCTTGGTAAAGTATCTTTACCTAAATAGAACTGATTAAACTGAAGTACTCAAACGTAGTTGTTGCTAGTGGTTCTGACTGTTTTTGTTCATTTCTTAGTATGCCCTTTTACATCGTATGTATTAGTACCTTTTATTTTGTTTCTTAAACATCCATGGGATGCAGCCCATAAACATTTATGTGAAGTCTTGGGAAAAACAGGGAATGGGCTAGGTCTTTCTTACAAAAACGCAAAAGAACATCAAGATATGTTGGAGATTTAAGCACAAAAAACAATGAAGGTATGATTTTTAGTGAAAAAAGGTGTTAATGAAGAAGAAATAAAAAAGAAATATTTAATAGAAGAAGAAATAAGTTTTTTTCTCAAGTACAACTCACTGAGCTATTTATATTTGACGGGAATTCGAAAAATTAAAATACCTAAATAAAAAAAGGGTTCCATCATAGGCCCTAGACAACTACCGAAGTTAGTTGGAGATTCAAGCATAAAAAATGGTGGTTTGGGAAATGAATGAGCAATAGACCTCAAGGCCAAAGCCAGTAGTTTAAGTCAAGAAAGAACAACATACGCACTTAGTGGGTGGCAATTGACCTGCTTTGGGATTCACGTGAAACAGAAAGGTTTGTTAAATGGTGGTTTATGAGCAATGCAACAGATAGAGGGTATTGAGTCTGAACGGAGAAGAAGTATTTTCTGTGATAAGGGTGACAGAGAAAGTGGTTAGTCAATGAACAAGCAAGGTCTTCGAGTGAAAATCAAAGTGATCATGGAAAGTGAAGGAGCAATCGCCCTCAAAGTCAAGGCCACAAATCAACCACCATATTTTTAAATTAATAAGATTTTTCTTTGATTGAAACAGGGGTAGAAAACTTTGTTTGTTTCGGAGAAACCCTCCGTAAGGAAAGGCAGGCACCAAACAGGTTTGACCGTAAATTTACAGGACCCTCCTGGAAAATGGGACCGAGTTTAAAAATAAAAACAATCAAGAGTAGCAAAATCTAGCATAAATGTACCCCAAGAAATATAAGTTGATTTCAAAGTGTGCATGTTTAAGATATGATTCAATTAGGAGTTTTCAGGACCCTCCTGAATAATGGGACTTAGCTTTAAGATTTCCATTAGATAACAAGATTTAGCATAAGTTCTGGTGTAGGGTAATATAATTTAGCCGTAAAATTATCACTCTTAAGATAAAACTTGACTTGTGATTTTCAGGACCCTCATGGATAATGGGGAGTAGTTTAAGACCCTCTTAGATAACAAGATTTAGCGGAAGTCACACCTTTAAAAGATATAACTTAGATTTAAAATTGTCGTTTAGTTAAGAGTTGTCAGGACCCCCCTAGATAATGGAACCTAGCTTTCAAATTCTTAGTAATATTTGGTAATATGATTCAGTTTAACACTCACATATGTGCCCAGTTACCAAATTGGGGCAGAAAATTTTCTTTGTTTTGTCTATTTTTGTTGAAATCAGGTACCCACTTGGAAGAGCAGGGAGAAGCAGTTCAAGTTCAGCAGTCAGGCGCCCACCTGTAGAGCACAGGAATACAATTCAAGTTCAGCAGTCAGGCACCCACCTGGAAAGCATGGGAATACAATTCAAGTTCAGTAATCAGGAGCTCATCTGGAGAGCACGAGAATACAATTCACGTTCAGCAGTCAGGCGCCCACCTGGAGAGCACGAGAATGCAATTCAAGTTCAGCAGTCAGGAGCCCACCTGGAGAGCATGGGAATACAATTCAAGTTCAGCATTTAGGAGCCCACATGGAGAGCACGGGAATACAATTTAGGTTCAGCAGTCAGGAGCCCACCTGGAGAGCACGGGATTACAGTTCAAGTTCAGTCATCAGGCGCCCACCTGGAGAGCACGGGAATACAATTCAAGTTCAGCAATCAGGAGCCCATCTGGAGAGCATGGGAATACAATTCAAGTTCAGCAGTCAGGAGCCTACCTAGAGAGCACGGGAATACAATTCAAGTTCAGCAGTCAAACGCCCACCTGGAGAGCACGGGAGTACAGTTCAAGTTCAGCCGTCAGGCGCCCACCTGGAGAGCACGGGAATATAATTCAAGTTCAGTAGTCAGGCATCCACCTGGAGAAAGGGAAAGCATCTCAGAGTACATTTCGAGTTCAGCAATCAGGCGTCCACCTAGAGAAAAGGGAAAGCATCTCAGATTACAATTTAAGTCAGCAACAAAGTAATTTCACCTGGAGAATACAAGTCAAAAGGCAACAGGAATCTCAAGATCAAGTTTGAAGATATAGATAGGATTCTTGCAATTCATAGATCATAGTCTAGTCTAGTTTTTTTTTTATTTTGTCATGGTGTAATAAGGGGTTCAGTAAGCAGTAGCAGCAATAGCAACAACAGTGAAATCACATCTTCATGGTAGTCCTAGCTACCAAAACTTCCCGAACTACACTGACCTGATTCCATTTTAGCCAAGGATATGTAGGCAACATCGGAAGTAGGGTGCGGTCAAATCTTTCAAAAAATGCTTCCCACGGAATATTCAAACGGGCAAAAATCGCTCGTATCCGCTCACTTTATCTTTGCACGAAAACTCTTCGTGTTTCCGAGCAAAGAGGGGTAGCTGTGAGCACGTGATTTTGCCCTATATGAATTATTCCCATAAATTCAAACAAAAATAAATTTTTCCCATTGTTTGCAATTTCGTGAAATTTTGTAGCATCTTTTGTTAAGTGTTTGCATTTGTCTGTGCACGTTTATTTTATTTAAATCATGAAAAATACCAAAAAAAAAACATCACGCATGGTATTTAGGCTTTATTTTTATATTTTTAGGATTAATTGGTAGTTACTTATTTTATAAAAATTGAAAATCACAAAAAAAAAATGCTTCATTTTTACACTTTTTTCTTTTATTGATTTTTCTCTTTTGATTTAGGATTAAGTAATTTTTATAATTAGTTAATTAGTTTAATTTCATATTTTTAGATAATCTAGGATTTAAATTGTAGGATTTTAATTAAAAGAAAAGGAAAATTAGAAAATAAAAGAAAGAATTGGAGAAAAGATTTGCTTGTGAAAGCCCAATACCCATTTCCCTTCCCTTGAATCCCTAAAACCTAGACACAAAAGAAAAAAGATCAGATCTCTCTTTCTCTTTGAAGACACCAACGGCGCTCCTCTCCTCAGAACGGACAACCTCCCTCCATGAAATCTCATCTCTCACCCTCACTCACACAAAAACGTTAAGACTCAAGTTGTTGTTGCTGGTTTGCTGCTGATTTATTCAAGTTGTTGCTGAGCTCCATCTGAATTTGGCCTTCTCTTAGTGTTTTTCTTGCTTTGAATAGGTAAGTTCAAACACTCTTGTATTTCCGTTTGTCTTGAGTGAACGAGTTTCTGATTTTCACGTAATTTGGCTTGAATTCTCATGTTAGTTTAGCCACATGGTAGCATCAGATTAAAATGACCCATTTCTTTATTTTTACCCAACCCGTTTTACAAAAAAATCATAACCCGAACCATATTTTCATTTTTCAGTTTTTTAAAGAATTTTCTTTTTGTAAAACATAAAAACAAAAATTGCAAAATATGTTTTCTTAAACTAAGTAGATACTGAAAAGATTTTGCAAAACAAATTGTAAAAACTGAAAAAAATATATGAAAATATAATCAATGATACCTATTTGTGAGGGGTAAATAGGTGGGTAAATAAATTTATAATGTAAGATAGACGGGAAAAAGTAACTTTTTTTTTCTTTCTTTCTTCTCACTGATTTGGAATAGGTTTTCTTTTTCCTCACTCAGTTCCGAATAGCTTAAATTATTGCCAATTTGCCGCCCTCTGCCGGCTGCCGCTACGATCCTGTTCGTCAATTTCTGCAGCGATAGCTTTTGCACAGGTCCAGAATGTCTAGGCCTGAAAATAATGTTCGCCAGGATGTTTGTGGCAGCACTAGTCGCCAAATTACCGAAGCCTATGTTCANTCTCCGCCATTTAGTCTCGTCTGATTAAATTCAAACTGCTGCCTAAGTTTCATCTATATGCTTGCCTGATTTTAGTTATTTGAGGGGTCGGAACCTAGAGTTTACATGTCCTCTATTTTAGTGTCTTGGTAAAGTATCTTTAGCTAAATAGAACTGATTAAACTGAAGTACTCAAACGTAGCTGTTGCTAGTGGTTCTGACTGTTTTTGTTTGTTTCTTAATATGCCCTTTTATAACGTATGTATTACTACCTTCTATTTTGTTTCTTAAGCATCCTTGGGATGTAGCCCATAAACATTTAAGTGAAGTCTTGGGAAAAATAGGGAATGGGCTAGGTCTTTCTGACAAAAACGCAGAAGAACATCAAGATCTATTGGAGATTTAAGCCCAAAAAACAATGAAGGTATGATTTTTAGTGAAAAAAGGTGTTAATGAAGAAGAAATAAAAAAGAAATATTTAATAGAAGAAGACATACTCCCTCCGTTTCAATTTATGTGAACCTCTTTGACTGGGCACGGAGTTTAAGAAAAGAGAGAAGACTTTTGAACTTGTGGTGTAAAATGAGGCACATATATTTTGTGTGGCTATAAATCATTGCATAAAAGTAAATTATTTCCAAATAAGGAAAGGGGTCATTCTTTTTGGCACGGGCCAAAAAGGAAATAGGTTCACATAAATTTAAACGGAGGGAGTATGTTTTTTTCTCAAGTACAACTCAATGAGCTGTTTATATTTGACGGGAATTCGAAAAATTAAAATACCTAAATAAAAAAAGGGTTCCATCATAGGCCCTGGACAACTACCAAAGTTAGTTGGAGATTCAAGCATAAAAAACAATAAAAGCATGAGCTTTAGGGTGTGTTTGGTATGTTGAAAAATGTTTTGTGGAAATATTTTTCCATTTTTCCATGTTTGGTTGATATAAATGATTTGGTAAATGTTTTCGTTAATGACTTATTTTTCTCTAATTAGGGGAAAATGACTTCCCTAAAAATTGAAGGGAAAACATTTTCCCGAAAATCAAAAGATATGTTAGTTCTCCTCGCTGCCCCCTGGTGCTGGTCCCCCTTCCCAAAACTCCCTCTTGAGTCTAGGATTTTTAAAATCCCTCCTCCACTCGCCGCAGCTTCTATCTATTGTTTTGGGTCTAATCTTTGCCGGTCAGCTATAGTTTTCCGGCAACGACAAAGGTATCATCCCTTTTCCGGCGACATTTTTTTACAATTTTGAAAAACTTGTGAAGTGGGTTAATGTCCCTTATTAAGAACCTCCTTTGTACTTTAACTGGCAGTTTCTTGTATATTCATTTACTTGAAGTTGTAGTATTTTTATAAAAAGTAAAACTCTATCTATAGTTATGTGAAGTTTATTTGGCAATCCCATGCCTCGCATCTTTTGAATACACCATTGATTTGTTATTCTCAACATTGATAGATAGTGGTACTTAAAGATGGAAATATGGTGAAAGTTCTTACTGTTGTTAGAACACTCAAGAATTGAAGGGTATAAAGAGTACACACCTGGAAACGTGGGAGATTTGGGGTGGGTGTGAGGAGCATAGAAACGTGGGGGATTTGGAGCGAGGGGAGGAGTATGGAAACTATGTTCCTAAAACTATTTTCCACCCATTAACCAAACACTAGATTTTTTTTTTTACTTTCTAACCAAACATGAGAAACTAAGTAAGAAAATCACTTATTTTCTCATAAAATATTTTATAGGAAAATATTTTCAATGGAGAACATTTTCCATCAATACCACTTAGTGAAAGAAGACCTACTGAAGTAGAAATAAAATATATAGATGTAATGTTCAAAATAATTGTTTTTTCTTAACCAAGAAATCTGCTATTCGTAACTTTGAAATCGATGAATAATGTAGTATTATCAAAGACTCACTTCACTTGAGCCTTGAAGCTAGGTACAAAAACCAGAGTGCTTCACAACGCTTAGACGTAGATACGTAGTTCCCATTTAGGCACCAAGGGGAAAAAACATGTGTGTCATCACCTATTGGCCTCCTCTTGAAGAGGGCAATACTAAAAAATTAACTACTTCCTCCATCCCAATTCTTGTGATACCATTTCTTTTTTAGTCTCCCCAAAAAGAATATTACCTTTCTATACTCAGAAATATTTTAATGATATATATATATATATAATGATACCTATTTGTGAGGGATAAATAGGTGGGTAAATTAATTTATAATGTAGGATAGTCGGGTAAAAGTAACTTTTTTTTCATTCTTTCTTCTCACTGATTCGGAATAGATTTTCTTTTTCCTCACTGAGTTCCGAATAGCTTAAATTATTGCCAGTTTGCCGCCCTTTGCCCGCTGCCGCTACGGTCCTGTCCGTCAATTTTTGTAGCGATAGCTTCTGCACAGGTCCAGAATATCTAAGCCTGAAAATAATGTTCGCCAAGATGTTTGTGGCAGTACTAGTCGCCAAAATACCGAAGCCTATGTTCAGGTTATTATCTTGTGCACTGTTTTCATTATATCTTCAGCTTGCTTACTCCCACAAACTTGTTTGCTGGGACTTCGGGGTGGGGGATGTCGACAATAAACTAAAAGTTTCAGTTTTTACGTAGAACTTGTCAGTCATAATCTCCAGCAACCTTTTTCCCCTTTCAAGTTTTAATCTTTTGTCATCCTAGTGCGAAATGTTGATGCATAGATATAATTAATATTACATACCATACTTTTTCTACTAAATGTAGCTCTTAGGATGTTTGTCATATTGCATCATTAGCAAATATCGAAGAAACTACCAAAAATTATGTCTTGTGAAAAAACTTCTTTTTACTTCTTTTTACTTCTTTTTTAGCTAGAAGGTATGGCTTATGACTGGATTCCCTAGTCGAGCCATCAATGACATGTCAAGCCATCAGTGACATATATTCAGTTATAATAGGGTTATAAGGCAAATGACCAGCATGTAACATGTTAATTACTTCCATTGAATAAGTCTTAATGATAAGAGGAGTCGATTTGTGTTCTATAGCTATTATAAGGCATTGAAATAAACTTTTCTTTATGTCACACTAACTGGGCCGAAGTGTGGCTCTCTTGAAAAAATT